GGTTAAAATTATGCGGAATACCTGCAATCCCGCGCGTATATTCAGACTCTGTAATCGACAGGAGGCGGATGCGTGTCAAACTCACTGTCGGAGAGGAGAGAGAGACGCAGCTTGTATTTGTGTAGGCTATATTCGGTAGATACCGGGAAAATGAGTAATGGAACCGTGTCAGATATTTCAGTATCTGTATCGAAATATAGATATTTATGATAACACTACCATGTAGTTTGTTTCTCCAAACTTTGAGTCCATAAATTACGCTGAACTCCCTCACTCTCTGATCAGTTCTTCAGAACCTGCTGCGGCTTTTCCCGGTTCAGATATCAGGGCTGTTATTGGTCCCTTCACGATCAGATATCTTTATTGGCTACTGAAGTGCCGTCAAATGTTTGAATATCAATTCAGATTGTGGGCGTACTCAGTAACGAACTATGATTTAAAAGTAATGAAGTAGATTATTTTGCTTAATTTGTACTTAAGTACAAGTAAAAGTACAGCTTTAAAAATATACTCAAAAAAAGTACAAGTACCCGAAAAAACTACTCAATTACAGTAACGTGAGTAGTTTACTTACTACCACTGGAGTTCAGTAAGAAACAAAACATAAAGGGCCCACTTTTGGCTGGATGATTCACTTGGACTTTGAACTGACGTTGAGTTGCATGTCTTCAGTCAGATGAGGGATTTTAATATCTGCGTGAGTCTAAGCAATTACATCCAACTAAGGCTGTGAAAATCCGATAATGATTTGTGTAAAATAGGTCTGGAGTAATTCCTACCTATGTCAATTTTCCAATATCAGTAGTTGATTTAGAATGTGCTTTTCACTAAATGGCTTGGCAGTTTCTATAGCAGGTAAGAAACCTTGGAAAGTATAACTGGTCCAATCATCGCTTTTGAATAAAAGCTAGTGACATCAGCCCAACATCTTCTATTGGATGTGGTACTTGCATTGGGGGCCCCTGTTTATTTCGACTCTCTTGGATAGTTTCGTGACTACATCCTTTTCTCAGGAACGTTGGAAGAACATGGTCTGCGAGCACAGTAAGACTAGTTTTACATGCTTCAGATACAGCTGGGGAAACATTTCATAATCTGGAATTGTTTGAAAGTGCGTCAAAGGATGCACTTCGTGGTAATAGCAGAAACAGCAATAGAAAGATTGATGTGTTAAACTGAGCTGCATATAAAAGGTTCAACTAAACGTTTGACATTAGTAATATATGGTAAGTAGATGGAAAAACAGGAACCACAATATACGATGAATAATGATGCTCAAAGGAAGCTTAATAAAAATGTAATTATGATATATATTAGTGGCTCTCACTGTAGGGTTGTGACCCAAAAGTGCAGTAGCCCCTCACTGCAGAACACAAGATCCATGGGGCGTGGTTGGATCCACATCTAGGGGGTGGAGATTGGTAGGTTTAGGGGTGGAGATGGGTGGGTTTAGGGATCAGGGGTGGAGACGGGTAGGTTTAGGTATATGTAAGGTGGGAGGAGTTGGATCTGGATTCAACCGCGCTCCCTGGATCTTGTGTTCTGCAGTGAGGACCATCTCCAAAAATATGGTTAATAGTAATAAAAATAATAGTATATAATAGTATAATAGTAAATGATTATTATATTATATTACATTACATTACATTGCATTGCATTGCATTGCATTGCATTGCATTGCATTACATTATAAACCAATGGTTCTCACTGGTAGGTTGATTTCCTGTGCTACATGTCCTGCACATATGCAGGCAGTTAGCACACACATGCAGGGCACGCTGAAGAGATTACACCAGCCCACAGGGAGGTTTGGGTCCTCCTTACTGTACCTCTCTCCAAATGTTTTTGACCATTGTTCAAAGAAGCACAGGTTGTCTTTATATTATTTATGGATCTGTTCAGTGTTATTGTCAGGTTCATTTCAGTTTTAGGTCTCAAGAAAAATACAGTGGGGTCCAAATATCTGAGACTGCTTGTGAAAATGCTTCTGTTTAGCATCATTTTTGTTTTTGTATTTTATTTTATTTAATTTTATGTATTTATTTATGCATGTATTTATTTATTTATTTTGGATATTGTGATATTACACATTATGGAATCTAAACATAGTTTGTGTGTTTACACACATGCATACACCTGTTTTGGTGATAGTATACATATATACATAAAGACTAATATATATACATGGACTCAACTTTCCACTTTGAAGGATCTCACTGCTGCCATACTGCAGGTGGTAGCTGTTTATAATATCTTCCACTAGATGGGGATATCGTTCAACATGATCTTTACAACTTGCACCTCATAGCCTCTGGCATATATCATCAGTGAGTAATTGCAGTGATGTTTTGGGAGTGAGTGGGTACACCGCCACAGCTGCTTGCTATTGTTCAAGTTCAGTTGTCTGCACTTAAGGGATCCTCAAATCAAAGCCATGAGCCGAAGGTAAACTCATGCTTATGTAATGGGAGTGGCGCAGTCATGCATTTTGATTTTAATGGAGGTATATGCTGTTATATGATTACATAATTTGCACACTGAAACTATTTTTTCACTCTGAACTTCAAAGTACTCCTGAAAAGGTAATGGTTCATAATTTCCGATATCTATTTGGAAGTGTTATTTCCAACTAAATCTAGGAATAAATCCAAATACACTTATTTATTCATTTAACCTTAACCTTGAAATAATATATTTTGATAAATGTTATTGTTTGAGACATGCATCTTAAATTATTTTGAAAATATAATTAATGAAAGAAGGAGCAAAATAATAATAATAATTATTATTATTATTGTTATTATTATTATTATTACTTATTAAATACTACCACTACTAATAATAATAATACTAATAACTATTATTAATATTTTGACACATGCATCTTAAAATATTTTACAATTATAATTTATTAAATAATAATCATCATAATCCTAAAAATAACAGTTATTAATAAAAGTACTAAATAATAATAATAATAATAATTTTTCATATAATATGTAGCCTCTAAACATGTTGAGCTGTGGTGCTTATATTGGAGATGTGGTTCAAATTTTACTTGCAACATATCCCAATCATATTACTGTACAAAATACTGTATTTCGTACTTGAGAATCGAATAAGTGACAAATATCTAAATGTGAAACGGCAGGTTTCGGCTGTGGGCGGTGGACAACACGGGTCGGCGTTCCAGTCCGAGTGAGGTGACGATCAAAACTCCCTGTCCCGCCGTGGATGATGTCAAGGCTCAAGGTAGAGAATTGATTTTCTAGAATAAACTTCATAGGTTTGGAAAGTATTCATAAGATTATAAATCTTCGGATTTGGTTGAATGTCCCCTCAGAAATAGCAGACAAGATTTATAATCTGTTCAACGGCTACACAAGCGGGAAGGAACAGCAGACAGCCTACAACACGCTCATGGACCTCGGCTCATCAGCCCTCCACCGAGTTCTTTACCATTACAACCAGCGCTACGAGAGCTTTGGAGAGTTTACTTGGCGCTGTGAAGATGAACTGGGGCCCAGGTTTGTAAGATGATTCACTGATGAAGCTTTGTTATACAAAACCTAGCTGCCTTTTAAGACTATAATGGGACTTCATAAGTGACCAGATTGGAACGTTCTATATTGGCAGATATTCTGTAGAGTGTCCCAAATTAGTGAGTGAGAAAGGGGAGGATTTTTTCTATCACATTCAACAACAGTATTACGCTCGCTGCCACTGTTCTAGACTGTTTGTTCTGCCTCTTAAACGTAAACTTAACTTGTGCAACGATTGGTGGGAATAAACATATCTCATATATAAGTCAGGACTAGTCTATATAGCCTGAATAAAGCAAACCAGTATCTCACCAGTGAAGTTTTGATGGATGGCGATTTTAATGGATGCCTTCAGATCACCACATTTGACAAATTCAGAATGTTTTTATTTGCTTTTTTCATTTGTGTTTTGCTCGGTTTAATAATTCTGAATGGATCCGTATATATTTATATACAGTCAGGTTAAGGCAACTGGTATAGTGGGATTTTGGCATCTCTGTGTGGTCCTGTTTGGCTTGTTATAGAAAATGCTCTAAACAAATGTGGCATTTCTTTTTTCCTCTCAGTTTTTTTTTGCTGTTGCGCTGTATACATAAATTGTGAATTATGAAAATTAAAAAAAGTTTTAATTTATCTTGAATATTCTTGAAGAAAATATAGTTTTGTGGGAATCATCCTCAAACTTAATCTTGAACTTGGTAAAACAATTTTCTTTATTTAAAATATTAAAAGTCTTAATATTTTTTCCTTTTGTTATACTGGGATAAATCATACTGGGATGTATGCTAAAATTTGTTGGAAGTGGCGCCCTACCTAGAAAAGTTGGTTCCAAATTGCACTCCACACTGCAGACTTGACTTGCAGTTGATTTCAGTAGAGTTTGATGTTAGCATGCTGCTATGCTAACAGCACAATACTCTGCAGCACTTTAAAACATACAGTATATACATACATTAAGTATAATGATCAGTTTGTGATTTATTTTTTGTTTAATTTATTTAGTTAAATTATGTTGCATGAATGTTTAAATGTTTTACTGTTAATTATATTAACTGTTTTTTTATGAACTATATAGTTTTTAATTCACCCATTTTGGATGCAGTCTTGGATTTATTTTGTTCATTGAGTTTGGCAGAATACATTATGGGATGCTGCCTTGGAATGCATGTGGGAATGTTAGGGGGACATATACATTTTTATTAATTGCAATTAAACCCGATATCTTGTTTTACAAGCTTTTGTATTTTTTTTATGTTTTTCATTGCTCCTTACATTACATAGTAAACACAGATGATTCTATTACGGAACCTAAGGTCAGACTTTTGATTAGGGTATTTGTGCTAATTAGGTTTATATTGAACACAATCAAACTGATTACAGTACATTTAAAGGGATCACTAAAGCATCACGCTGACCACAAAACAGGGTAGTAATCTTTATACACCCTCCAAAATAAACCAAAGACTTTTCGAATTGCACTGAAACACTTTCTAAACACAGCCATGTGTTCGATATAAAACTTGAACACTTCCTCGCTGATGCACAGTAGATGCAGGTGAATTTAATTATGGCCATTTGGACAAACGTACCTGAGGCCTCGGTTCAGATTAAAAGGTTGTATTTAATTGTCTCCATGTTGCAAGGTTTTCCTTTCTTACTCCTGAGTTACTGCATCAAAACACACTTTTATCGAATACTATCCCACCCAGTGTGACTGATGAGAAGGAACTGATGTGAGGACTTTAACAGTAGGTGCTTTCAAACCAAGATCATGGATTCATGGTAGATTAATCAGGCCTTTCAGTCTCATGCTTCAGGCCTATTTCCTGAATGAGATATTTCTCATTCATACCCAAGGAGTCAAGGTTTGGCTAGTTAGCATGTTTTAGTTATTTACCCTTAAAGGGTATCAGTAACTTAAAAGTACATATTAGTTTCTAATGTAATATCTAACGTTTTGAAAGGGTAGCACATCAGTGACAGCTTTTGTACATGTATTATTTATTTGTCTGTCTGCCTGTCTATCTATCTGAGAGTGTGCCTTAACTGTACCATTATAGGAGTAAAAAATATCTTTATCCTTTATGCTTTATATGCTGAAGAAATTATTATTAATATTATTAAGCAACATTTATATTGCAAATATTTTTTTGACCCTATGAGTCCTAAAGGGTAAAATGTTTGTTGATCTGATGTTGAGTCAAGTGATGTCAATAATACTGTCATTGGCCAGATTTGAGAACTGAGAAGAAATTATAGCAGGTTAATTAGTATTAATTGACCCGCTGTCTTCTACGACAAATGCATCAAGATAACCCAAAAACAACATTCATTCGTAATTAATTCCTCCAGATATTTGCACAATGAAGGGTGCGTGTGATCATGCCCCTATGATCGACCCAGTTCCATGAAATATTGCGCAAGTTTTTAGCCTTCAGATAAGCTGTTCTAGTGGAGGTCTGGGGAGATGGGCCATTATCTCCCCAGCATCTGTCTTCCAAACAACTTGTATGCGTCATTTCCATTGCGTCCATACAGCATTTTTTCGGCATAGGATAGGATGGAAATATAACCAATGAGAATTTGTTTCTGTCTAATACAAGTCACACAGTTCACTGGGGTTTCCTCATCAGCAGCATTTAAATGTAATTTTCATGAACTAGTCATAATACAAGATAATTGTAATTAAACTGGCCCCCTCAGCATATAAACCAGTTCAGACTTGGAACAAAATAGATTAAAAAAAGAGACTATTCGCTGTGTTTTCTTTTGTTTTGAGATATCAAAACAGAAATTTTCTGATTCATTCTTAATTGGTGGTACTATTGGTTGGACTGACTCACGCTTTAATAGGTGGAATTCGGTGTGTTCGGTCAAAGTTCTTTCGCTGTTTTCGTTCGACATTAATGCTGTACAGTTACTATAAGGAACCACGTTGTCGCTGCCACAGGAGTCATAAGGCCATTCCAAATGGATGATATGGAAGTCGATAATGAGTGAGGTGGGTTGGTGTGTTACTGTAGATGTCGGTGGAATGCAGCTGATTGTTTCCTCCCAGACTATTGCAAGAGATTTCGGAAAGCGAGAGTGAGATAGAGGCACTGGCAGAGCCCAAGAGGTTGAAAACGTACCTTGGAAATAAAAGGCCATTTTCCACTTCCATACATGCTGGGATTTATGGTGACAGCCATTGCTATTTGTAGACCAAAATGGACTTGTTAAAGAATAACAAACCACAGCGTTTTGTTTTAAGCAAATAAACAGCCAAATTCCTACAACCACTGAAATGTAGCAAGATATTAAAAACATAAATGCACTCAAAATAATGATGTAAATGACAGCATCTCTACAGCAGACAGGAATATTTTTCATTTAATATGCTAGTGATTTTTGACATCATTAAAATTCCATTATTATACGTTATGAATTAATTGGAAGCCAAAGTAAATAATGAATTTATACTTTGTCGCTTGAAACCTCATTGAATTGCAAAAGCAGTCAAACAAGACATTGTGCGTTCAGTTGAATCGGTTTAAGCCACATTATAATTGTAAACACACTTAAAAATACACTTAGCTACCCCAAAGCCTTGTTGGTCCACACAGATTTGGTTTTCGGTATTTATGCGGTAGAGTGTTGAGCTTCTGGTTTGACAGGGGCTTGAAGTGAATCTATGACTTAGGAATGAGGCTATCTTTCCATACTCTTGGTATCGCATTTCAGCTTCTTGTCTCTTGCGACGGATATTGGCACTTCAGCGCATTCACACTTACTCAATAAACGCCCCTCTCAAGTCACCACCGCTAATAGAATTCACAGGTACTTAACCTTATCTGCCGTTCACCTAATCGGTCCTGTGTTACCTCAGAAGCTTCTTGACGGGAAAATTTCTCTTTAAAGGCTTTGCCATTACAGTTTGATATAAATACACCACAGGCTTGATTTATGGTCAAACTCCTCAGTCCAGATTTTGAAGGGCGTCATTTAAGGGCTGCAGACAGAAGACCTGTGTTTTAGCTGAATATGGCCATCGCCTGCAGTTTATATTTGTTATATTGGAGTCTCCCATTAATCTTTCAGTCTCATGCTCTGGAGCAGCTTGTGAGGTGGCCATTCTCAGAATGGATAAACGGAATGGAATGCTCAAAAACACCGGAGGAAGAAAAATTTCAAACCAGTGTCAAGAGCATTACGTAATAGTAATATTCTAAAAACTATGCAGTATGAGTATCACAATGGATGTTAGCAGAAAAAGACTGATTTGAATCATGTGCAGAGCAAGACAAAAGCTGTGTTGTTGTTGAAGTAATTTGATAGTGCAGAGATAAAACAAAATTCAAAAAAAAGGGATCAGTCAAAACAAAAGTACTGCATGTGTTTAATTTACTAAGGTTTTAATGACTAATGTTCCAAAAGATGATGAATATTGCAATTATAATATACTGTATATTTATAGTAATAATAATAATAATACATATAAAAACACATTATATTACAATTTAATATAACTTTTTCTATTTTATTATATTTTAAAATGCAATTTATTCCTGTATTGTTTTTCAGCAGCCATTACTCCAGTCTTCGGTGTCACATGATCAATCTGAAATCATTCTAATATTGGTGGTGCTCAAGAATTATTTATTATAAATGTTGAAAACAGTTTTGCCGATTAATATTTTTGTGGAAACTTTGTTTTTTCTTTGATGAATAGAAAGTCCTTTCTATTCTTTGATAACTATTCTATTATTTCTATACAGCATTCTAAAAATTTTACCGTCATTTTTGACCAATTTATTACATCCATGCTGAATTTTATTTATTTATTTCAGCATAATATTGTCTAATTGCATATGTTCCATATGCATTTGACGCAGACAATCTGTAATAAATAAACATTAACACACATTACTAACCAAGTATCATCTTTGTGTTTGCTCCTGCAGGAAAGCAGGATTGATCCTGTCTCAGCTGGATGAACTCAGCGGTTGGTGCCGGGGTCTCCTCCAGGAACCAAAAATTGGCTTGCGCAGAGCATCCCTCAAGTATCTGTCTTGTCGTTATACAGATACCAAAGCATTCGGGCTTAGCTGGGTGAATCTCGGCCAAGACTTACGTAAGGCCTGTGAAGATCAGATGCTCTCCGTTATGTTCAATGATTATGGAGAACCCAAGGAACTTTAAGCCAACTTGGACAACAAGAGGACCAGTCAGGGGCCGTACCTAAATGCAGCCTTCCCTTTAGGGCTTCTCTCTAGAGAATCTGGTCCATCGGTTTTAACATTAATTGGATATTTAATGATGAAGAGGAAAATATTTTGTGAGACCATGAGCTTTGCTGATTTTTCAAGAAGTATTCAAGTGGTATGTCTATGGGCTTGCACATAAAAATGTACAGTGTACAGTCAAAGGAAAGTTGCATTAAAGTGTCATTTAGACGTGGTGTATTTTGTCAAATAGTGCATACACCAGCTGGTATAGGTAGGATTTTTTCCACAAGAACTAAAACTGTATCACCTTAATGTGCTGAAAATGTAAAATGTCTCTGTAGTGCATATAGATATGGAAAGAGCTATAGCAATTGTAAATGTTAGTTAATTATTAAACACTACTAATGTGCTGAATGTAGTATTCAAACTAAGGTATGAGCGGTCAAGAAACTGTTTTTTTTTTTTTTTTTAAGTATAAGCAGTATTATGAAAATAACCATTTTAAAGTTGTGTTCAATAACATGTCTTGTTTGTTTTATTTCCTATTCCAAATAAAATCGCCAACATTAATTCACTGATTATTTAATTGTTCAACAGAAATTTGAACAAAAGTAATGAGGGCTGCACAGTTTTTAAAGTTTTTATAGTTGTGATGAAACTTAAGTATACCAACAGCTCTTTTCTTACGCATCGACATATAGAGTGAAAAAAAAATATTGGAAAAAAAATTGCAAGCCGGGAAAATATTTCTGTCCAGTTCACCAGTTGTAGATTGGTTGGAGGCATATTTTAAGGTTAATGACTGACTAAATGACTGGCCAGCATAAATCAACAGCGTCGTCTGTGATTTTCAGAAAATTTAGTTGTGACATTTTAAGAACATTCAGAAACCCAGCCAGAAATCATTCAAAATAAGATCAATAACATGCATTTAGAAAATATATTTTCTTTAATATTTAATCATTTCTTATATATATTTTTTTCCTTTATATTATTATTCTATTATTTCTTTAACAGTGTTTTTTTATATATTTAATATTTGACATATGATTTCATATTGTAATTTCAGTCTGCATCTTGCACCATTTGATGGTTAAAAATAATCTGATATTATTTCAATCTTGATTTAAAAAAAACATGCTGAGCACAATTACAGACATCAACTTTTTTAAACCAACCAAACTTCTTTAACGGTGTGTATTTATACTTTATTGATATGACAGTGAACCTACACTTTAACAGACAGAAGAGCATACAAAAATAGTATCATATATTTCCATTACAATTGCTACAAATGAAATCTCACATGCATTTCACAGGTTTTGCATGTACATGTACAGGGTATAAAATAACGATGAGAGGAAAAAAATCCTGAAATCTCAAATTTTGAAAGAACTGACAGTCTGAGATAAGCACTTTGTATACCTGTATTAATGACATATAGGTGGAAACAATATTGAGAATGTGGCTCACAACAAGCAAGAGCTATTTGTATAAAATATAAAAATCAGCTACACTTGAAACTTTTGTGAGTGTGTGTTTGATGGTGTACATAATTGCTTGTGGGCTAAAATATGGGTCATATCTACATCTATGTTAGAGATCTTGAAAAAATATTAGGTATTATTTTGTAGATTAATATTGAAGAGGATTGTTTTTATGCACTTATATGCTTTGATTTACTCTGCCTTTGATCAGCCTGGCACTCATGTGGAGTGAGAAACATTCAGGTTATTGTTTGACATTTTCTTTTCAAGCCAGTCTGAGAGCTTTCACAGCGGTCCTGGCTCCTTTCGCTTGGCTGTGCCCTTGTTCTCCTCGGCTTCGGGGTCACGGCAGGTGCACTCATCGTGATCGCAGTCCACCCCGAACTGAATGACCTGTCAATCAACCAGACACGCTTTTACAAACAGCATCCAGAAAACATTCAACCACAAACATCTATGGTATGTGGGAGCCACACGCAGTCTTTGAACAAGAGATCAAAGTGTGGTTTGGATAATTCAGCTCAAAAATACTTTAAGGCATCACAGTAGATCAAAACAATGAGCACTGCCTTTTTCCAGATGCATGATCGACATCAACTGTTGACCAAATTACTCCGAATAACCAATAGAATAAGAGTCCATTGATGGAAAAAATTTTTAGAGAATGGCCTGTTTGGGTGTTTATTTACCTAACCAGAAAGTCATATGGATTGGAATTTTTACACGATTGCTAGGATTGATAAGGACATGACGATCACATTCAGTGCTGAAGGGAACAAAAAAAGAGAGAGAAAGCCTGACTGTGAGCAGATGAGTAAAGGAGGTGAACACATGTTAAGAATCAACTGGAGGAGGTTCTCGTCCAGGATTCGTGCCATCACCACAGGTTGCAAAATAAACCCAAATTCCCAGCTAAGCAGCCTACTGCAGGAAAAGTAAACATGAAAGTACAGCGTAAGCTCTTATTTCACCTGATGTTTACGAGATACAATTGTCTCACTTGCGGTACATTCGAGAGTATCCATTCATTTATATTGCATTTCTTTGGAAGACGGAAGTTTTGCTTTGGTTTCATGCTAAATAATCATGATAGATGCTTTTCAAAATATCCAAAAATATTCAAAATATTTGCTTTCGGATCAACTGCAATTGTATCGGTGCATATAATTTTGTTTCCTGTGCATGTGGCAGAATGCTAGAAAGGGAACCACAGAAGGAGGGATGAGAGGAATTTGTTTTTTATTGTCCAACCTTGTCTCTGTCTCTCATCCTAGATGCTCTTAAACCAGACTGCCCAACCAACATACTCGGACTTTTCCATGGCCTGCGTAAACAGAAGCATGGCAGCTCTGCCGGACCTACGGTGGCAGGATGCTGTTCCTCACGGTTTATTTCACTTTCTCAGACCCTGCTTGTTTTACAGTTGCCCGTGACCGCTGACACCTGGCCCTCTGCTAATAAAAGCTGTTCTATCCAGTCATTTATTTATGACAGACACTCCCCCCCGAGCTCATTCTCGCTATGGGAGATCACGCCACCTGAGTGCCTAATGATGTGGGCGACGTTCATGGAAAGGGTTGACAATGTGGCGGCACCATGCGAGACAGAGAGTGGCACTGTGAGAGAGGAATGTGAAAGCAACGTAGCATGAATGTGGATGAGAGGAATAGTCTTTCAGATGAGATTTACCTTTCTAGATGAGAGAGTGGATGGACAGCAGTCTCCCCCGTCATATTGGCAGTACGCTCGGTTATTAATGGTGTCGCACCAACCATCTCCTCCGAATGGCTGCAAAGAAAGAGTTGCGATGAATTAACCAGATGCTGTCTTTTAAATTAGATTTTGAGTAATACATACAGAATAATATGTTTATAATGTATATTTGCTGTACAAAGAACATTTTTGCTTGTATTATTCAAATAGTTTATGTTAATTAATTAATTAAATAAATTATAAATAATAATAATAATAGAATAATTAATTATTAATTATTATCATTGTATCAGTATCGGACAATATTGAATATTTAACTGTGCATGCTCATTTCCTTTTTTTTTTTTTTACTGTAAATTATCTTATGCCATTATCTAAAACTCGCTTAATCTTTAAAATCACTAATAACACTTTACAATAAGGATTTATTTGTTACCATTAGTTAACATGAACAATAAAAATACCCGTAAAGCATTTATTAATCCTAGTTAATGTTAATTCCAACTTTTACTAATACATAATTAAAATCAAAAGTTGCATCTGTCAACATTATTTAATGGACCTCAGCTAACATGAATTAACAATGAACAATTGTATTTTTATTAACTAACCTTAACAAAGATTGTTAAACACTGTAACAAATGTATTGCTCATTGTTAGTTTATATTTGTTAATGATTAACTAATGTTAACGAATGAGACCTTATTGTAAAATATTACCATAATTTAAAAACACCGTTAAATGTAATCAAATGAAATTACAAAATAAAAATGGAATTACATCATTTTTAGTTGTCAGTCATAACATAAAAATAAAAAAAATACAAACCAAATAAATAATGAAATACAACAAAATTAATTTCATGATCACATTACTCTAAGAATGATTAATAGTTTCAAAATAATTAATATTATATAAACAGGCAAACTATAGCCTTCCATATGCAGGAACAGTTTATTATACATCCAAACAACCTGAACTCACTGAACTAGTAAATGTGCCCTTAAAGTATTTTAAAGGTTCAAGCATGAGTTACCTCATTTTATTATGTACAATTAACAGTTTTCTCTGAACATGAGGAAAGAAATGCATGGATCATGCCAAAGGGATTTCTGTTATACCTTATGGTAGGTGGCATTTCTCATTTATTCCTTTCAAATAAAATAAAACCGCATCTGTTATTCCAGACAAAACTTCCTAACTTCCTTGTACTTCCTTCGATGTCATTACTTCACCTGTGTGAGAGCATGGTTACCCGTTTTGCAATGCCCAAGGGAGCAAAATCCAACCTTCTTGAGTGGACTACAATTATCAAATTTAATATGCATAAACACTTTAAATGTGTCATTATGCCTTCCTAAAGTATTTTACCTAACCTTAAAGGATCTGATGCCAATAACAGGAAAACGAGAGCCGTCTGCCAAAGATACTTTTGGCTCTCTTGTGCATGTGGAGTCCTTTCAAAGAGTCCAGGTTCTACCTGATTCCACATCCCTGTGCAAGAGCAGCTGGCGAGGAGATCTCTGTAGAATTTATCCCTGCTAACCCTACACCCAATCCAAAATGTTTTTCCTGCCGTGGTCTCATTCTCCAAGTCATAAGCAATATCATTTTTCATTCTTCAGTTTCAAGCTTGTGTATATATATAGTTTATTTCTTTATTCTTGCTCTCCATCCATTTTGTTACCTTAAGCACATTGCAAATTTATTGGCCATAACAATTTTAAAAAACAGTCTTACCACTTTGTGTTTAAATTAACGTGTTACATATTGCAAGTTAAATATCTGAATCTAAAACACATGCATTATTAATATTGTTTTAGAAAAGGCTGGAAAACGAAAAATGACCTAATGCCTAACTAAAGAGTCGTGTAACAGTAAATGGGAAGGATGTGTGGAATGCATCTGCTCCAGCCAGCATGGAAAACTGCCAGTGAATGTCAAACAACACTGTAGTCAACCATCTGAAGCACTACACAAAATCATCTGACATGGACCTCACATATATCTGGCTCAAGACAAAACAACAGTCAAGAAAAGTCAAAATCTTGACCACCACAGACACTCAGATGACCAAAACAATAGACAATATAATGTTTTAAATCATTTAAATCTCATGCTTATTTTCTTCAAAATTAATCATGCTAAATTATTACAATAAATTGACAAATACTTGCTAATTGTGTCTGTTTTGGCTCGATAGATTTATTTTAAGCATAAGGAGCTGCAGTGATGTTTTGATGGAAGGACACAAGCATTTAAATGATTGATTTCAGTGTTTTGTGTTTATA